ATTTTGCCTATGTGGTGGCCAGTGTGTGCTTTGAGCTGGAGATCAGGGGGAAGGGTGGGCACAAGAGGTGGCACTGTTCATGGGGAATGAATGTACAGGCTGAGGATGCCCTGGGATTCTGATGACTTGGGCTTACTAAGATGAGGGCAGCTTGGAAACCATGCCCAGCTGCAGAGCAGGGGGGATCTAGGAGAACAGAGTTGCCAGCTCTGGCCCTGGTGGGGCACTCTGGAGGGACTGCCCTGAGTGTGTGTGTGTGGGGCCGGGGGTGGGGGTGGAGTGGGGTGGGAGGTGGGTGCTGGGCTGCAGCATGTGGCTTGGAAGGATGGAGAGTGTGGGCTCAATGATCCATTGCTCTAGAAGAGCCAAACTCTCCCACCTGATTGTGATTTTGTGTTTGGGTTCTTGTTTGTTTGTTTTGCTTCAGCCACCTACTGCTTTTCAGAGTCAGGGGACTACTTCTGAAGCCCCTAAAACATGAACCTATCTGTATGTTGGGGGTGAGGGGTACCACTCAGGCCCACATGGCCCTGGACTCTGTGGGAATGGAAGCCTGGGTGCTTTTGAAGTATAACCATGGGTGAAGCATCTTTTCCTCCTCTGCGTGCTAAGTCCAGCGGCGTCTGTTAGCACCAGTAGTTGATGGGGGGGCAAAGGGCCCCTCCAGGCAAAGAATTCCCCCAGCAACTCCTTTTGTGTCCTCCGCAGGGCACACGGACCTGACGCCGTGCTGATGGCCGAAGGCAACCCGCCGGCGGAGCTGACGCAGTCGCAGATGCTGCACATTGCCCAGCAAATCGCAGCGGGCATGGTCTACCTGGCATCCCAGCACTTCGTGCACCGAGACCTGGCCACCCGGAACTGCCTGGTGGGCGAGAACCTCCTGGTGAAAATCGGGGACTTTGGCATGTCCCGGGACGTGTACAGCACTGACTACTATAGGGTGAGTGGCTGCACCCCCAGGACCCCCGGGCCTGGTTATATTATTTGCTCGGGCTGCCATAACAAAATACCATGGACAACGTGGCTTAAACAACTGAAGTTTATTTTCTCCAAGTCCAAGATTAAGGTGGCTGCAGGGTTGATTTATTCTGTTTCTCTCCTTGACTTTCAGACAGCGCCTTTCCTCTGTCCTCCCCGGGTTTTCCTCTGTGCATGCACACCCCCTGGGGTCTCTGTGTGGCTAAATTTCCTCTCCTTTTGTGAATACCAGTCAGACTGGATTAGGGCCTCATTTTAACTCAATCACCTCCTTAAGGTCCCATCTCCAAGTACAGCCATATTCTGCGGTAATGAGGAGAGCACAGTTCGGTCTACAACTTTCTCCTGCTCTTTCCACACCTTTCAGGTGTGTGGTCTCTCCATGAGGGCAATCCTCAGCCTGAGAATTTTACCAGGGAAACCTGAGGGCCTGGGGAAATTCCTAAGGGCATGAGGCTAAAGGATTTTGAGGCTTGCACTTGATTCTGTGAAATTATGTCTGAAGGCTTTGTTTGAGGTTTGACCTAAGATGAACTTGTTCATGGAAATAATGGTACCCCAGACCTTGAAAGTTCCCACACGGAACCATCTTGGTTGAAAGTGGATTAGCTGGTGGTGTCGCTGTGAGATGCAAGAAGCATCATCCTGCAGGTTCCTGAAGAGCCCCACCCAGTCCAGAAATTCTAAGGCAGAGGTCCTCAAACTACGGCCCGCGGGCCACATGCAAATACAAATACTGTATTTGTTCCCGTTTTGTTTTTTTACTTCAAAATAAGATATGTGCAGTGTGCATAGGTATTTGTTCATAGTTTTTTTTTTTAAACTGTAGTCCGGCCCTCCAATGGTCTGAGGGACAGTGAACTGGCCCCCTGTTTAAAAAGTTTGAGGACCCCTGCTCTAAGGGGTTGAGTTATAGACAATCATTCAAATTCACCGATTACCAGCAATTGGCCCCTTTGGCATGTTAGATTTGCTCACTGAGATCTTGGGACCTGGGTCTGAGAGAAAAGGGATCCTTCTGGAAACCTCGAAGTCCTGATACTGAAAGCAAAGGTTCAGGTGGTGTTCTATCACCTCAAAGCCTCAATTCTGTTTTCTTGTTTTTCTGGAATTTCAAGGGTAGAAGAAGAGAATAGGAAGGAAAGGGAGTAAATGTGCTGTGTGTATATAGCCTAAGACAGTGGTTCTCAACCTTCTTAATGGCACAACCCTTTAATACAGTTCCTCACGTTGTGGTGATCCCCAACCATAAAATTATTTTCGTTGCTACTTCATAACTGTAATTTTGCTACTGTAATGAATCGTAATGTAAATATCTGATATGCAGGATGTATTTAGGCAACCTCTGTGAAAGGGTCGTTCGACCCCCAAAGGGGTCGCGACCCACAGGTTGAGAACTGCTGGCTTAAGAGGATAAAATGGATAATGTGACTAACTTTATAATAAGGTAGGGCTGGTGAAGAAAAGGCCTCTCCTCGCCTTTACTCTTCCCTTGATGATTTATTTGTGAGGAGGAGCCTTCTCAGTTTGTTTCCTGTAGTTCTCACTGCGGCCTCACTCACCTCCAATGCCTCTGCACTTTAGCTGAACCAAGTTTGCTACAATTAGTCTAAGACAGCGATTTTCAACCTGCGCGGCACAGCATAGTGCAGTGCCCCAAGAACTTTCCAAATATGCAGTACCTGACTCTGTAGTCAGGGGCACTGACCTCTTTTCTCTTAGATTGTCAAATAAAATTGTCAAATGAAAATTAACAACAGCCAACACAACAATATCCATGTGATATGATGAATCAAAATTACACCTTTTTTTTGTCAGATTGGCAAAGGATATAATATATATTTTTGGTGTGCAACAGAATTTTAGTAATTAGTTTATGTGTGCCATGAGATGAACGAGGTTGAAATTCACTGGTCTAAGACAATGAGTTTATGGCCTTGGTGTATATTCTCCTGTAGATATTTTTTTGTGGTGTGTTATTTATTTCCTTTGTCCCCTCCATAGGCATTGTCCACATTTTGGATAGCAAGGAGTGGAGGCCAAAATTAAAAATGATTATCTTGAGTGTATTTGTAGAAAACATGAGCATAGTCTCAGCTTCAAGCGTGCAGAGTGGAGCTTCAAAGCACCTGTCCTGAGTTTAGGGACGGCTAGTTTGATCTAGATGTCTTAAATGGGGGAGTGGGGTGTTATTACCAATGGATGCATCTCCTCTGTTAGCTCTGCTTCTATGGTGGTAGGTGGGGGTAGGGGCCTCTCCCTGTTCCCTTTAGTGGTGCTTGCCAAAGGGGAAGCTTTGCTGAGCTTGATGAGCATCTAAGGGAGAAACACATGGCCCAAGCAACAGCTTTCTCTTTAGCAGGAAGTTAACCAAGGTCTCAGAGTGTCTGGCACAAAGTAAGTGCCCAATAAATGTTTTCAGCTATATCATTATCCAAATCGATTATCCACCCAATTAAAAAATTGGCAAAGGATTGAAGTAGAGATGTCTCCAAAGAAAATACACAAATGGCCAATAAGCACATGAATCGATGCTCAATATCATTAGTCATTTGGGAAATGTAAATCAAAACCACAATGAGCTACCACTTTATACCCCCGGGGATGGCTGTAATAAAAAGACAGACAAAAACAAGTGTTAATGGGGACGTGGAGAAATTGGAACCCTTATAAACTGCTGGTGGGAATGTAAAATGGTGCAACTGCTTTGGAAAAACAGTTTGGCAGTTCTTCAAAATGTTCAACATAGAGTCACCATATAACCCAGCAATTCCATTCCTAGGTATACACCCAAGAGAATTGAAATCATACGTTCACACAAAAACTTGTATACAGTGGAAATAACAACATTATTCATAATAGCTATAAAGTGAAAATAATTTAAGTGTCCATCGATTGATAAATAAACAAAAATTCATAGTTTATATAGTGGAATATTATTTATTAATTAAAAGGAATGAAGTACTGATTCATGCTACAATATGGATGAACCTTGCAATTACTATGGAAAGTAAAAGAAGCCAGGCACAAAAGATCACATATTATATGATTTCAATTTATATAAAATGTCCAGAATAGGCAAATCTATAGGGACAGAAGGTAGACTAGTAGTTGCCAGGGGTTAGGGCAATGAAGAATGAGGAGTGACAGCTAGTGGATATGGACTTCGTTTATGGGATGATAAATTTTTTCTAGAATTGTATAGTGGTCATTTAGTGTATTTGAAAATACCATTGAATGTGTACATTTAAAAGGTAAATATTATGGTATATAAATTATATCCCAATTTTTAAAAACCTGAAAAAAGGAAAATACTAGCCAAATAGCGACATTGGATATAAGGAGTTAGTCTTGGTCATTTATATATTATAAAAGCACTGTCACTTGTCACATACCACATTTTATCATTTGTTAAAAAGAAAACCCTCCACTTAGATGATATATTCCTGAAGTACTTCCTTCTGAATTGATTGGAGAAAAGAATAATTCCCAGTTCCTTTATCTGTTAAATGTTCTTAGAACTCTCCCAGTCATTAAGAAACGTGCTTCTGGTGCCACTTTATTCAGTCCTCCTGCCCCCCACCAGTTGCAGCTACAGGGTTTGTAATGTTCACTTGGTTGTTTGTTGTTCCCGCTGAGGAGAAGGAGAATACCAGCCTTATGTTAGCTCAGTTAAGGTGGGAAAAGGGGGTGAGGGATGTAAGATCTGGCAATGTGATAGTAGCCTAGGAAAACAAAAAAAAGTAACCTCTAAAATTTCAAAATGATGGTTTGCCTTTTGGTTCCATGAAAGTATTTATCATCATGAAACTCCTTTGCAGAATATTTTTTTTCCTTATTAAAACATCAAAAGCAGCCCAGCTGGCATGGCTCAGTGGTTGAGCATCGACTTATGAACCAGGAGGTCAGGGTTTGATTCCTGGTCAGGGTTCATGACCAGGTTGTGGGCTGATCTCCAGGAGGGGGCATGCAGGAGGTAGCCGATCGATGATTCTCTCTCATCATTGATATTTCTATCTTTCTCTCCCTTCCTCTCTGAAATCAACAAAAAAATTAAACAAAAACCAAACAAACAAACACCAAAAGCATATCAGAGGAGTCCATGCCATTGAGTTTGTCAGATAGACAAGCAGGGGCTGTTGCTGTGTTTGCAGGTGAACTCCAGAACATCTCACAGCAGCTATTTGCCAGAACACTTTTTGCTTTCACATTAGTTATTTACTTGTTGCATCATCTATAAGCTTGGCATTCAACCCCTCCCCACCAGGGTGCCTCTTCATCTTCCCTGTTGTAGCAACTGGGAAATGTGTTCTCCTTACAGTTCGGGTTTCTCATTTGCAGACACCTTGTCTTCTTATTCTCCTCTGGTCTTCACCCTCCAAGGTGACAAGCTGCTGTAGCTGATGTGGCTGGTCCTTAGCTATGTTAAATACCCTTTCCGCCATAGTAATGGGGGAGGATTTTCGTGTTAGCCAAGGGTATCTTATATAGAAGGATGGTGATTAGGCCTGGAATCAAATTTATTGAGGAGTAACATGCCCCTGTCTTTAAGCAAGAACCAGTCCCACTAGAAGCCCAAGCCTTCTGCTCATAGTGGCTCATGAGCAGCATTGTGCGGTGGCCACAGCCCTGTGCAATCTGGGGCAGCAGGGGCAGGTGGCAGCTGTTCTTCCATCATGAAAACGGCTGCCTCAAGGCTTCCACCCTGTTGCAGCTGAGCTAATTATATCTTCCCAATGAAGGAAGAAATCGGAATGCTGCATTTGCATGGAAACCAGCCTGATTTGGTGGGTCCAAAATTACTCTAGCATTTATGTTCTCTGAATTGTTTTAATTAGCAGCTCTGCAGTACTTGTCTTTTATTTCGTTTTTATTCCTTCCCACCACTGGCAAAAACTGACGTTTAAGGCACATCTGAACCAGGTTTCTGTCACATTCTGCCTATGACAGACCTAGGATCTC